GCAAGAAACACCTAAAATCAAGACAAACTAACTTTTTTCGAAATTACGTTATCTTTCAAAAAGACCGAGATGATGCTGTCGCCTCATCCGGTGGTGTTGCCATAATTGTTAATCAAAGAACAGCCTGTACACTTTTACCATTCAGACATCCCTGGAAGCAGTAGCTGTCCAAGCTGTCATCAACAAATTGGTAACGATTTGCAGTATATATATACGGCCATACCATCAACTGACTAAACACGAGTTTCAGTCGCTGATAGCAGAACTTCCAGAGCCGTATCTCGTCCTAGGGGACTTTAATGCTCATAGTAGCCTGTGAGGTGACTCTCACTGCGACGCGCTAGGTCGCCTGATTGAACAGTTCCTTTTTTTTCTCCGGTGCTTGCCTTTTGAATCGGAGAGAGCCAACATAATACAAAATTGCTTACAATACGTACTCAGCCATTCACCTCAGCATAACATCCCCATCACTCCTGCCTCTCCCTAAATGGAAAGTCATTAATAATTCATACGGCAGTGACCACTTTTCTATCGTTATCAGCATATCACTAACAAATATATGTCCTGCACAGGCTCCCAAATGGCTCACCGACCAAGCCCATTGAGAACAGGATGAAAAAATGATTCTCCTAACTTGGACTGACATGGAGGGGTTAAGCGTAGAAGCTGCTGTGAGCTACCTGACAGCATTTTTTATTGCTGCTGCAACTAAATGTATACCAAAAGCATGTGGACCGTAAGGCAAACGACGAGTTCCTTGGTGGAATATTGAGTGCCGTAACGCGCAAAGATCAAAATAAGGCATGGAAGTTGCTTAGAGACTCACCAACAGCCAAGAATCTTATAAACATTTAGAAGATCAAGTAGCAAGGAAGGAGGGTGCGCCGACAGGCGAGAAGAGAAAGTTGGCATAAATTCTCATCAGGCATTAATTCATACACAGATGAGGCGAGAGTCTGAAACATGGTTAGTAAGGTAGCAGGACAACAAGAACACACACTTCCTCTAGTGAACACACAAAGGGAGAGCTTGGAAGAGCAGGCAAACACTTTTGGGGCGCACTTCCAGCAGGTCTCCAGCTCATCACACTATTGTAAAACGTTCCAACGATACAAAACCAGAATACATAACAGAGATTATAGCGCGAACCCACAACATATAAGACATACAATGAGCATTTCTGTTTGACTGAACTACACGCCTCACTTTCCTGCTGCAATAAATCTACCCCCGGCCTAGACTGTGTGCCATACTAAATGCTAAACACTTGCCCACTTAAACCCAGAAAGCTCTCCGCTGTCTGTACAATGCGATATGGTCTTCCGGCCAGCTACCCTCAGCCTGGAAGGTAGCTATCGTTATCCCAATTTTAAAAGAAGGCAAGTACCCGGCCACAGTTTCCAGCTACAGGCCAATAGCGTTAACCAGCTGTCTTTGCGAAGTCTTTGAGAAAATGAATAACAGGCGCCTGATGCACTTCCTTGAAATAATGGCGTACTTGACCCATACCAGTGTAGGTTTCGAGAGGCTCGGTCCACCACTGACCACCTTGTCCGTATCGAGGCACAGATTCGCGACGCTTTTGTTCATAAGCAATTTTTTCTTTCTGTCTTCCTCGATATAGAAAAAGCATACGACACTTCATGACACTTTGGCATATTGCGAGACCTGTCACATTTAGGTGTTTGGGGTAGAATGCTGACAATTATCGAAAGCTACCTGTCCAACCGTGCATTCCATGTCCGAGTTGGCACTGTCTTATCTCGAGTATTTGTCCAAGAAACAGGAGTGCCACAAGAAGGTGTATTGAGCTGCACACTTTTCATAGTTAAAATGAATTCCTTGCACCTGTGTCTCCCACGCAATATTCTTTACTGCATATATGTCAATGATGTGCAGATTGGTTACAAATCGTGCAACATCTCAATGCACCAATGTCAAGTTCAACTTGGGTTGAACAAGATATCTCAATGGACAAATGAGAATGGTTTTATACTCATTGCGCAAAAGAGCACTTGTGTGTTGCTCAGCCGAAAGAGGGGCCTCCATCCTGACCCCGACATTGATCTGCATGGTCAACCTCTGTCAGTGAAGACCGAGCACAAGTTTCTTAGTCTCATATTAGACACTAAACTAACCTTCATCCCACACATCAAGTATTTAAAGGACAGGTGCTTTAAACAATGAACATTTTAAAAGTGTTTTCATGCACTACAAGGGGCAGTGACATGAAATGTCTAGTGAATTTATATAAAAGCCTTAAACGCACACGCCTAGATTACGTTGCTATATTCTATCAGTTGGCAACACCATCAGCCACGAAGATTTTTGACCCCGTCCACTATCTAGGCATTCGCCTCTCTACGGGTGCTTTCGTACTAGCCCTGAGGAGAGCTTGTACGTGGATTCGAATGAATGGTCGCTCCACCTACAAAGATATTTCCTGTCCTTTTTGTACTCTTTGAAGGTGAAGGCAGACAAGAAACATCCTTCTCATTTCTCAAATAATGATTTGTCTTGTTCTGGCTTGTTCGAGAACCATTCTTCGTTTAGGCAGCCCTACGCGCTCCGTGTAAGGGGCCTGACCGAAGAAACAGGTGTGCCTCTTCTCGAGCACAGTTTGATGGCTCCTGCAACATATCTGCCACCGTGACATTGGCAGCTTATAGACTGGGATGTCTCTTTTGTTGAAGTCACAAAGCACACACCACTTGCACACATACATACTTCCTAGAATCACAACATAAATACACATGTCCTGAGTTCTTTAATGACGCGTCAAAGTCAAACACTGCTGCGTCATATGCATTGGTAGCCCAATCCTTTACCGAGGACAGCGTTCTTCATCCTGATACAAGCATTTTCACCAGAGAAGCTTACACAATACTGGTTGTCGTAAAACACATCAAACAGATGAAGTTACGAAAGGCAGTAATAGACACAGATTTGCTAAGCGTGTTCAAAGCCCTGAAAACTCCTAAAAAAACACAAGAACGCCGTGCTGGTGTCACTTTACTCATTTCTATGCACACCATACACATGAAAGCAGCATGTCGTTGTCTGCTGGGTTCCAGGGCATCGTGAGATACAAGGGAACGTATTGGCCGACAAGCTGGCTGCTTTCGCCAATGACATCACTCGCAATGCATCAATACCAGTCTCTGCACTTGATTTAAAACCATTCTAAAACAAAAGTTCAGTGTGTATTGGCGGAGCACATTGGATAAACACACAGGCAATAAATAAACTGCATGCTATTAAGCCGCTTTAGGTTATTAGCCGCCACTATCAAAATCACGACGCACAGAAGTAACACTGACAAGGCTTAGAAGAGGACATACATACTTTACACATTCATATCTTTTGTCTACCGGCAATCCACCGTATTGTGAGAGATATGGAGAACCACCTACGGTCCTTCACATACTCGTCCAGTGCAATGAGCTTGGTGATCTGAGGAAAAAGCATTTTTACTGCCCTACCGAGAGCAGCTCCCACTACACCCTGGGATGCTTATCGGTAGGAATCCACTTTTTAAACTGCAATAACTTTTCACGTTCTTAAAAGATGTTCATAGCTTTCACCTCAAATTTCGAGGTTCTCCAAAGCACGAAATTTGTAACGTGGTCGTGGCGGCGGTGACTACATCTCCTCTATGATAATATTATCATGACGGTTTGTCTTCTATTTCACAGAACATATCTCACACCACTGCCATGCTTTTATTACTTCCATGTTTTAACCCGTAATAGCGCGAGGAATTTTAAGGCCTCTTCACAGCCGCGCATCTAATCATTGTTCACATCTCTAGACTATTGAAACGGCGCTCTGTGGCCATCAATTGGCCCTTGCGCCTATAAAAAGCACTCATCATCATCGCACTCATAATCATTCCTTGTTTTTGTTGACTTCCTTTGTGGCTGACAACCACTGTGGGGGATAGAGCGCTTTGTAGTTCTGCTTCTTTCCCTGCTACATCTTCAGCTGTTTGAAGCCGCGAAGAGTATTGAGAGGGTACAGAAGCAAACCATAACAAAGCACGCCCGTGTCCTTATCTCACACGTCCTGGGTTCCACTGTGCTTCGGGTACTTGCGTCGTGCGTCTGTATGTACAGGCCACAGTTCCCTTGCTACTTCCTGCAGCTGGCCGTTTCAATCAGGTGAGCATGCGAAGATGTTTGTTGTAATTAACGAGAACGCATGACGGATGAGTTGGTATGCTCAAGATGATGTCAAGACGTGTAGAGTTTGATCAACAAGGCGATGGCAGAGGGCGCCAGCGAGGTAACTAATTGCATGGCAATGAATTACAGCTACCGCTGATGGAAGCTGGGACCCAGGTCGTTGCACACAAGAGCACCCGGACGCGCGCACGTTGGGACTTTGCGGCTCCACCGTGCTGCAGGTGCGTGTGGGTTGCGTCCTCTGCTGTTCCTCGCGATTTTATTTTGTGATAGGGAACAGTGTACATGCGAAGACGTCATGGACACACACGCCTTCGTGGTAAGAGGTCTCGTGAAGACGTGATATGAAAATGCCTTCGCTTGTCACTGCGACTGTAAACAAAACCGCCAACACGCAAGAGAAGCTGTTTTATTTTTTTCTGACATGCGCAAACTCCAAAAATAGAAATAGATAAACAAGCCTGCTTTGTCACGTACATACTTTTAGATTCCTTTGAAACAGTAAAACAAACTACTCGTTATGTTTATAAATGCGATGTTGAAAAAAAACATGAATATTGTATGCATTAACAGAAAAAAAGGGCTGCCCAATATAAATTTTCGACACAAAGACCTACTTTCCCAAAGCAATTGTAATGTGAGCACACATAGCGCACTGCCACACGCGGGCGAAAGGCGGCGAATAGCGCGTACACTGGGGCGGCGTGACACCAAGGCTTGGGATAGTCGCCGCACCCTCGTGGTTTACCCATATATCTTCAGTGAATCCGGACACGTCGTTTTTATTAAAAATAGTGTTTCACTAATCCCTGCAGGTGCAAGTGAGCCGATCCCGGAGATAGTACAATACCGGGCCAACCCGTCGCGGTGGTGAAGGAAGCTTCAAGAACTGCGCCGCCTTGGAAAAACAAGTTTATTATCTTGGATACAAATAGAATCCGTATCTCATACTAAGCTAGTAAGAACAGATACTGATTATCAAAAGAGGCAACACATAGAAAGAATGGTAGGCTCGGCCTTGCTGGCCCGACCAAAGGCCGCCCAGACCTTCTGGGACCAGGAGCCCTGACCTCAAGTGTGTAGCGCCCTACCGGCTGCCCCAGCGTCTACCCTTCCTCGCCTAAGGGCTTGGCCAGTCGCATGGCGTAGAGCGACGGAGGAGCTGCCTTGGCAGAGGCCGGAAGAACAGGGTCTGAGCAGCACGTCTACCCAGGTTCCGCGAACCGCGAGCTAAGTCGGGACTGTACTCTTTGGGGACCACCCGGCAGCTAAGCAAGCGGCCCATGAACACAAAGATCAATTTAGTGGTGTAGTGGGACGAACCTATAACCAACTGCGGGGCGTCACTCTCCCGCTGCCGCACCCCAAAGTGAGACTGCTCAGGAAATCCCAATGGCGCAGACCATCTTGGGTCCAAAGACACCAGATAGCCCTGCTGAATAGGCCAGGCGTTCAGGTGTTGAAAAGCATAGAGCCATAGAAGCAGTACCTAACCTCAGGACAGGCGAAGAACAGGTAAATGGCGGCGCAACTGATCAGTTAGCTCCCGAAGGAGCGCGTCTTGGACGCAGCTCAAGTGCAAGAAGGAAGGAAAAAAGGAGAGAGTAGAAAAGGAAGAGTGGAAAAAGTGGTCCCCCCCAAGGGGAGGGGGCATCAAACCCCGGCCACAGGGCCAAGCACATGTAATCACGAGGGGTAGAACTACACTTTGATTTTAGTCAAAGGCCGAGAAGCGATCTTATCCAAAAGGCCGAGAAGCGCTCTGTATTTGTGAGGTATTTGATGTATTTGCTTGATGTATTTGTTTCGCTTAAAAACATGTTAAAACAGAAACTTTATTTTCCAAGACGTCGAAGCCATGCTTCCTTGCTTGCACGCGGACACTCGATTTCGCCCATGACGTCACAATGAATTCTTGAGAGCGCATATTATGTATCGGGCACGTCACGAGAGATGCTACAGCTCTCTTTTAAAAACTTATGCAAAGTCTACGTTTCAAACTCGTGCACCAAAGCCTGGAGGGGAAAAATGACTGTACCAAATGCAATTACGTCACCCATCCAACATGACTTCTACGATGGCTGTTTAAGATGCGCCTCTGCAAAGGCGACCACAATCATTAGAGAAAACGTGCTGCCGTTGGCTTCTACAGTGCGCGCAACATATGCCTTGCAAGTTCCGATGTGGCAAAACATCGCCCAGGAGTCGACGACGGTCCTGCCGTGAAATGCAGACCCGCGAATCTGTGCGAATTATCTACAGTGTGTGTTGTTATACTAGTCATAAGAGAGTCGTGTGGCGTAGCGTAACAATGTGAGTGTGCGAAACGCCACTGCGATGTCGTGCAAGCGTTCCGACTGCAGGCTTTTCTTTTGGTCTAAAATGTCCAGGTTTGCGGATTCCGAGGCGTAGAAGTGATTTGGCGGCGTGTACAAGGCGCCAGCGTGGCGCTCCGTTGATCGATCTCGGCAAGAGGTTGTAGAAGGTGGTCGTGAAGAGGTCGCGGAAATCAGTAGAGAAGTACTCGCCTGCGCTTTTCGACAAACGCCGTTGAGTATGGTGCGAGTAGACTCGTGAAAGACCGTTTTCGGGAGAGGGGTCGTTGCACAAATGCAACCCTGCGGCAGCGTGTCGCCATATATAGGGATTATATTTCCGTACTACGATACCGCTGATCCACTGCTTCTTCACTGCGCTCGATAGTATTGCTTGTTATTGTTGACCTTCACTTGTGGCTCACACCCATTTTGGGGAATTGAGCGCTTTGTTGTTCTGCTTCTTCGCTTTCTACATCTTCAGCATTGTGAAGCTGCGAGGAGTAATGAAAGGGTACAGAAGCAAAGCACAACAAAGCGCGCCCGGGATGTTATCTCAGATGTCCCGGGTTCCAGTGCGCTTTATGTACGTGCGTGATGTGTCCGTATGTATAATGCAGAGTTCCCTTGCTACTTCCGGCAACTGGCCGTTTCAATCACGTGAGCATGCAAGGATGTTCATTTTAAATAATGAAAACGATTGACGGATGAGTTGATATTCTTACAGGGAAACGTATATTTGCAGATATTTACGACGTTTACATGCGACGACAATGCCTGGCCCACTGGCGTGCTGGGACTTGTTGTTTTGTTTTGTTTTGTTTCCCTGGGAGGTTGGCTCATACCCACTTAGGGGGATTGGCCAAGAAAGTGTAGTGCAGTTTATCTATAATCATTTTAACTATGTGTAATGAATTGGTATTATAATAAGACTAATGTAAAAATAAAAACAACATAAAAAGAGCAAACGAAAAAAAAAATCAAGTTGAGCAATTTTGAGATTTGAGGTGTTATGTTTACCACTTAGCTGCGTTTACTTCACTGTGCCCTTGGGAGTAATAAATAATTTTTTTTTGTTTTTGATTGAAGATCACAAAGGTATACGCTTGGTTGCCTGAATATAATCGCAAACGGCATTGAAAGCATCCCTGTGGCAATGTCCCAAAGCTGAGGCGCCAAAGCTTAGCGCCGTTTCCGCCGTCAATGTAAGACCTATTTTCCGAAATGGCATAACTAGTAACCTTTTTCTAAGTATTTCGTAGCGGCGACAATACAAAAAATAATGATCTAGTGATTCCATTTCTCCGCAGAATGCGCAGAGGGGTGATGTTGTCTGACCAGCTCTGTGTAGATATAGGTTTAGGGGGGGGACACGACATCGAAATTTAGTGATTAAGACTTCGATCTTTCTGGACTGACTCCAGTGGGGTTGCCATGGAAACATGAGGTGGTTATAGTCTGTCTATGTAATTACTTTTTCTATCGTATCAGTGGAGATTGCCGATTTTCGATATCTTATAGCCGTGATATATTCTACATCTGGCAGTATGGGCAAAACTGGCCCATCAAGTGCGGCTCGAGCTAAGGAATCGGCCAATTCATTTAATCTTAATCCACAGTGACCCGGAACCCATAGTAATCTCAGGAGTCTCAACTGCGGCGGTACTAATGTTTTGAATGTGCTTAGAATTCGAGAGTTCTCTGAAGCTGTCAGAGCTGCACAAACTGAAAGAGAATCCGTCATTATTACTGCATTGTTTTGATTTGATGGAAGTTTTCGAAGAGCTAAAATAATCGCCAAGAGCTCCGCTTCAAAAACTGGAGTAAAATCAGGCAGTCTCACTGAAAAGGACCAGTCAAGCAAATCAGAGGCAATGCCTACACCTGCCTTTTGATTATTTACGGAAGCATCTGTGGCTATTATATTTTTAGTTTTTGCATGCTCTAAGTAATCTAATAATATGCTATTTAAAAATTTGAGGGATTGTAATTTGGCGTTTTGCGGGAATATATCATCATACTCAATAATAACATGACAATTTGAGTCATTAGTCTCAATTACATTTCTAATGTTCACATTTATACTTTGTAGATTTTTTTGTACAAACATTATCTGAGGTGTGTGAAACCGTGGCCAATGAGCAAGGAAGAAGGCGTCTGGGTTTGCGATAAAAGCATATTGAGATCTTCTTGCCGGTAAGCTATAAAATTTTAAAAATGCTTGTACGGTCAAAATTCGAAATCGACAAAGTAGTGTAGGCAGGCGCGCTTCCTGGTACAGTACGTTGATAGCCACAAATCTAGGGAGTCCCAGACACATTCGCAGTGCTTCTCGCTCCAAGACAACTAGAGGTTTCGTTTTATAAGCAGGGCCACCCGAGAATAATATGCAGCCGAATTCCATGATGGGGCGCATGTACATCTTGTACAACGTTATCAAGGTGTGCCTCCGTAACCCATATTTCCGGTTACTTAGCTTGTGTAGTAAGCCTGAAGCCCGCTGTGCTTTGGTAGTTATATACTCTATGTGTGGACTCCAGTTAAGTTTGTCATTATAAATGATTCCCAAATATTTTATAGAGTCTACTTGCTGGATGGGTTCCTGTTTATATAGAATTGAAATTGAAATTGGTTCTGCAAGCGGAAGCGCCATGAGCGCGCTTTTGTTGACATTTAACGATAACGAAATCGACTGCAACCAAATTTCCAACATGTTAATATATCTTTGTAATTTAAGTTGTAATGAGTAAATACCACAGTCAGCAGCAAACTGGGACTTGTCTCTATCCACTTCGTAGTCTTTTCTTTCAGGCAGAGACCCTCTACCGCTTTATGCCACAATCCCACTAGTGCCTTGTGGCACTACCGCGTGGCCTTAAAGCGCCGACCCGGCGCTTGTCACGAAAGGGATGTGTTGGGTGACACATAAGGCTTCAGTCTTACGACGTGCACAACAGTAGATGATGGTGGCATTGAGTGCGCTTCATCGACGACTCACTTTATCTCGTAGGTGAGGTTTGTGATCTTGCGTAGGAGTTTTTACGGTCCGTCATAACGAAATAAAAGTTTTCCTGAGAGGCCCATGTGAAGACATGGGGTCCACAAAGGCACGAGTGAACCTGGTGCATACGAAACTTCGCGGTGGTGACAATTGTATTGATCTTTCTGTGAGGCTTGAGAAAGTATGAGCCGTTCTCGGGCAATCTGTCGTGCTGCGTCGGCTCGCTTTATAGCATCGCGGACGTATGTGACAGGGAAGCTTGAACCAGCGGGAAGGAGTGTATCAAGAGGCAGAGAGGGTTCACGTCCATAAAGAAGGAAGATCGGGGAATAGCTAGCGGTGTCATGTCTGGAGGAGTTGTAAGCGAAGGTGACGTAGGGTAACGTGGTGTTCCAGTCACGGTGGTCTGGAGAAACATACATTGATAGCATGTAGGTGATAGTGCGATTCAGGTGCTCTGTAAGTCCATTAGTTTGTGGAGGGATGCCATTGTGAACTTGTGGTTCGTGGAAGAGGAACGTACGATATCCTAGATGACGCGAGGTAAAAAGTATCAGCCTTTGTCAGTAACGAGCTGCCGAGGAGCGCCGTTATGCAATATGACGTCATGCAGTAGAAAGTCGGCGACATAGGTAGCGCAGATGGTTGGAAGAGCGCGGGTGATCGCGTAACGTGACGCGTAGTCAGTC